GCGCCCCAACCCCCTGATCTGCCCTGCTCTGTGTGTGACAGGGGGCGGTGCCCCAACCCCCCAATCGGCCCTACCCTGAGCGTGACTGAGGGTGGCATCGCAACCTCCCAATCCGCCCTGCTCTGTGCATGACAGGGGGCGGCGCCCCAACTCCCCAATCGGCCCTGCTCTGAGCCCGCCCAGGGGCTGCACCTAGGGATTGGGCGTGCCCTCTGCCACCCGGGAGCAGGCCTAAGCCAGCAGGTCGTTATCTCCCGAGGGGTCCCAGACTGCGAGAGGGCACAGGCCGGGCTGGGGGACCCCCCTCCGCCCGCCCCCCGAGTGCACAAATTTTTGTGCACCGGGCCTCTAGTCCATACTAATAATGGACAAATATGTAAATTGACCGTACATTTGTGGCACCCACAGCCAATCAGGAGTGAGTATGCAAATTAACCCGACAAAGATGGCGGGCCTGTGGGCAGCACGCACGTGCGCAGACATCGACAGCGAGTGGCCGGGGGGCGGGCGGGACACTTGTGTCGTCGCCATGGCGACGTCGCAGGTGTTCCGTACCACCCCAGCTGCTCTGGGCCTCTGGGCAGCGTGGGAAGGCGGAAAGGCAGCTCCGGGCCAGAGCGAAGGTGGAAAGGTGACTTCAGGCCAGAGCGAAGGTAGTGCCGGCACCCAGGGGAAGGAAGGCCTATTCTTGCATGAATCTTTTGCATCGGGCCTCTAGTCCTATGTAATAAAAGACTAATAAGCAAATAGACTGAACAGCAGAAAGACCGGTTGCTATGACACACACTAACCACCAGGGGCAGATGCTCAAAGCAGAAGCTGCCCTCTGGTGGTCAGTGCATTCTCACAGGGGAGCGCTGCTCAGCCAGAAGCTGGGCTCATGGCTGGAGAGCTCAGCAGCGGTGGCGGGAGCCTCTCCCACCTCCGCAGCAGCACTAAGGTTGTCCGACTGACAGCTGGCCTAAGCCGTAGGTTGGACATCCCCCGAGGGCTACCAGACTGCAAGAGGGCACAGGCCAGGCTGAGGGACTCCTCTCCCCCAGTGCATGAATTTTGTGCACTAGGCCTCTAGGCCTCTAGTGTTTCTTATAATTTCTTTGTGTGTGTGTGTGTGCGTGTGTGTGTGTGTGTGTGTGTGTGTGTGTGATTATAGAATTATAGAAAATGAAAATGGTGCTCAAGCCAATCCCTAGACCTCACAATTCCACCAAGATTTGGAGAAATTTGCTGCCAGCTCCTAGCCCCATGATTGCAATTTCTCCAAGCCATCATAGGGGTAGAGTGTAGTGTCCCACCAGCCTTCCTGGGTTACCAGGCTGTCCAAATATATGTCTGAATAACACTGTCATTGAATACCCCTCTTTCTGGGCAAAACCTGCGGAGAGCTATGTGATTGAGTCCTGAATAACTTACTTCATCTACAGGTATTTTGAAAACGCCATGTATTGCACGATCTCCTGTGAGATCAAACTGCACATTTTGCAGTTATAAAGCTCTCGTGTCTCCTAGTTTGGAAATGGAAAGATAATCTTCACTCAAGATGTGTGGAGTGGGGGAAAAGTCTCAACTGAACCTTAAAGCCCTGACGTCATTCCGCCCTTCAAAGTGCCGAGGCTCTTGTCATTATTTCTGCTTCTCCCACCACCAGCAGCACCCACACCACCAGGCTGGCCTCACGTGGTGCACAGCTCACTGTTTAACATCCCGACTCCACTGGACGTGTAGTTTTACCCAAAATGCCCCAGGGCAAGGCTATGATGGTTCAACAAGACATAAGTAAAGGTTTGGGGCAGCCTAGGGAGACCCATAGGGAGAATCTGTCATGAAGTTGCTTGAGTTCTTGGAATTGAATCTGCTTGAGTTCTTGGAATTGTAGGTTTCGTTCCATGCTAGTTTTTGACCTGTCTCTATAACTGCAAAACAAGCTCAAAATGGTCCTGTCCTGTTTGATGAGATACTGAGTTGATTTTCAGAGATCACAGACCAAAACTGCAAGTTATGCAGCCCGGGCATGCGTGGAAGAGATGCGACTTCAGCTGCATCCAAACCAAAGTCTCACCTCTGCCTCCATGGAACCAAAGTATCAAACACAACCAGAACTTGAACACCAGAACCTTTACAGAAGTGAAGGGTCCACTTCCAGGAAGATCCAGTGCTGACGCCCTTTACCATAAATGGCTCAGCTCCAAGGTCCCCCATCAGCACCTGCTCCCCTAAATTCTTATAAACCCCTAACCTAGTGCAGCGAGCAAGAAGGATTTGAGGCACCATTAAGTCTCCCATCTTCTGGGTGGCCAACTTCTCTATCAATAAATGTGTCTTTACTGCAAACTCTGACTTTTCTTCGAGCACACCAACTGAGAGATCTTCTGTTTCACCCAGGTGTCCAAAGTGTAGGCATTCTGATGCCTCAAACTTAAGACATCCGAACTGAGGAGGATGAACTGCGGAGAACAGTTGCTTAACCTGCCCTGGGAGACTTGAATGAGGTGGGATCTGGACGTTGTGGTCCATGCATGGTGGTTAAATCGTGACCTTAAGCTTTTATGATTTCTTCTCTGAGAGGATCAGGGTATTTTGGGGCCAAATAAAAAACACACAGAAAAATTCCAACAAACTTGTCTCAGTTCTCACTTCTTCAAAAGAAGAGAGGGAGCAGGGGTTGCTGGAGCAGGGAAGGGACAGACGATCAGGCAGAAATGGCTGGTGGGTCTGGAGAGCGAAGGAGAGAGATAATTGTGTTGAGTGCTTACCACGCAAGCACATACTTGATGCACATTATCTCATTTACTCATTACTGCAAAGGTCTGTCTGACTCCCTGGCTCATAGTCTTCCGTACACATGAGGCTGCACTATTTTTCAAAGATATGAGATTAATGAGACAATAATGTTGGTAAAGTGTTTCAATTTCCTTTGAGAAAAAAAAGCCATAAAATTTTATTGTTATTGTTACTCTTATTATTGACGCTCAATGAGTGCTTTAGGGATGCCCCGATGTAACTAATATTACTCTCATTTATTTCCTTTAGTGAAATAAAGTCTAAAGACCAGAATGAGCATATTTATTGGGCTTTAGATTTAGCCAGTTATCTAGTTCAATTGCAAATTTTTGCAGATCTACGAACTCGAGGACTAACTCTACAGCCAAGGTCATGGCACTGTAATCCAGGGGGTCCTCCTTCGAATGCTGAGTTCTCCCAAAGAGTGGGAGAGGGGTGGATGAAGAGGGAAGGCCTGACACAGGGAGCCTTCTCAGTCTATAATTGTTAGGAAAAGAATGTAGCCGCAATTCCTCTACTTATTTGTGGAAGTAAAAATAGAATCAGTTCAGATAATTTGCTTCTCCAAGGGCAGACATTTTTTTCTCTTTTCTGTGAAAGAGAGTTAATTGTGTTAATTATGAAACACAAAATTATGTGAAGGACAGAAAGCCATTGTAAAGGGACATGGAGTTATGCACATGTTCAAGCACAAACAAGAACCCTGGCATGACTTATTTTAATTTTTCCATTTTTACACGTCTCTATATTGGGAAACAATTCTGCTTCCTTTCCAAAACTGCACTTATGCTCAATAATCAGCAGCTGGAACTGTAATTTGAGAATAAAAGAATGAGGATTTGGCCTGCATTTTTAATATGGCCATTATGTTTCATTTTCATTTGCCTAAGTTGGACTTTATTACATTCAGATTTTCTTCAATGTGCTCTACATTTTTTATTTATTTAGTAGAATTCTGCCCTTTATTTAGTCCCATGTCCTTACTGGACCTTAAGCAGAAAAGATTGTCCGTATGATCATTTTTATGTTTGTAGGGAAGAAAACCGAGTTCCTGAGAAATCAAGTGTCTCAGGCAAGGCCCCTCAATCAGTCAGCAGGGCCGGGGTTTAATCCAGGTCCCCTTCCAGCAGCATCCCCACAGCATTGACTTTACACTTGCATAGAGAACCCTTCGCATTCATTTTACCTTGAGTTTCTCTAATCTTTTTCCTAAATGAACAAAGCGAAAAGGAGAGAGAAGCTCTCTGCTGGCCATCACCAGGACAGGGCAGGTGGAAAGCACCCCGTGGCCTTGGCTGTTCTTTGTGGCCCTGTGTGGGCTCCTGATGTGGAAGAGCACATCTAAGCCTCGGCATAGCGTTGAGGCCGCTGACTGTGACGATTAGGTGGCCTGACTTATGTCTGGGGGTAACAAATCATTGATTAATGCAAAATGTGCAAGAGCAAATTATTTCTTCATTGTAATCCATACGGCATTTTTCTAGCCCCTCCCTCCAAAGTTCTGACTTTTCTTTCTCAAGTTTGCTCCAGGAAGTGTCCAGAACTAAGAACTGGAAGAAAAGAAGGAGGAGAGATACCAGAAGTGGCCAGGAGAAAGGGAAATGGCAAATGGCTTCACACATGTATGGAAACCCTGTTGGTATCTCGGTCTACAAATAAATTCATTGTCTTGAACGCATGTGCGAGTCTCACTTCCTCACTAGAAAAAAAAAATAATTGTCTCCATCATCAACTCCTCTCCATACTCCTCTCCACCTTCCCAGGAACCTTGTTGTGTGTTTCTTAAACCAATCAATTTCCGAAAGAACAGGAAAGGAAACCTTTTTGTTTCAGAGTTGAATAACTTGTATTTACATAGAGAACATTTTAGTTTTTCTAGCTAAAGCTCTAATGCAGTATTGAATAAAGAGTAGTGGAGGAAATATCTGTTGAGTAGATTGATTAGATTTGGTGATTACTAGTAATTTTCTGTATATCTATGACTGGTCAAGCTTTGTGGAAGGACTTTGTGGAATCACAGCAGTCCCTGTGATTAAAGAACTTATTGTAATCTAATGGAAGAGAAATACAGGTAAATAAATAATAAAAGCTGATCAATGTCATTAAGAGATAAGAACAAAGCTTGGTAGAATCATTAAAGGGAGCACAAGGCTTCCCTGGGGGAGGCAGGCGAGGCTTGCAGAGGTGTGAGCACTCAGGTGGCTGAGGATAACTGAAAGGATAACGGAGACTCTGGGAGCAGAGGTGGGGAAAGCTTTCAGGTTGAGGAAGGACTGGATGTTACAGGAACTTGGCGTGTTTGTTTAACTTTTAGAAGCTCAGTGGCAGGAGCACTGAGGAAAGTGGCAGGAGACAGTATAAGGTGGGACCAGAGTTTCAAATCTTGTACATCATACTGGAGAGTGTAGGTTTTATTCTGTAGGCAGCAGGTAACAAACAGAGGCTTTCAACCTGAAGAAAACAAAGATCAACCAAGATCATTTTTTTTTCTTTTGAAAGAAAGCTAGAGATGATACACATCATGACCTTGACAGAGAACCTAGTTGGGGAGATGTGATGAGGACTCGCAGTGGCAGCAGAGATGGGGACAGAGGCCCTGGAAGAATGCACATAGATTGATGACTGGGGGGAGTTGACAGAAGGACTGAGGTTCCCATCAATTAATTTGAGAACACAGATGCAGGTCAGGTTTTCATTTATTCAACATACCTTTCACTGACCATCTTCCACATTCTGGGAGCTGCTTAGGATGACTGAGAAGTAGTTCCTACCATCAAGAATCTCAGTGTTCCGTGGGGAGGGTGTAGGATTAAATAGTAAATATGTTGTGGTAAATGACTAATGATGGCCAAATTTTAGAGTGATTACTATGTGTTAGACCAGGGGTGGGCAACCCCTGGCACGTGTGCCAAACATGGCACGCCAGTAACTTTTGCTGGCACTCGAAACGCTCTTATAATCTTCCATTTACAATTTTTTTCTTAATATCGACTTTTTTATTTTTCAGATAAATTCAGTGTAGGTGCATCTTAGATAAATAATTTTACATAACATGTATACATTAAAAAATAAATGTATTTTTCATCATCATATACTGTGTTTTTGTCGCTAGAATGAATTTTATTATTTCTTCAAGGTTCTTCACATACGTACACCTTAAGAGATATCAAGTAGGCGTAACATGTTCTCAAAAAATTAGGGTTGGCACGCAGAAGAATTTTGAGTCAGAGATTTTGCTGGTTTTGGCACGCACTCACAAAAAGTTTGCCCACCCCTGTGTTAGACACTTGTCTTAGTCCCCTTGGGCTACTATAACAGAGTAACACAGACCGGGGAGCTCAAACACCAGAAATTTATTTCACACAGTTCTCGAGGCTGGGAGGTCCAAGAGCAGGGTACTGGCAGATCCCATGTCTAGTGAGGATAATGGGGAACATAAAAATACATTTTTTTGGAAGGGGCTAGCAATCTGACTCTGTACCTAGTTAATCAGTAACCTAATGCACATTCTTGTCAGCCTATAATCAAATCACTGCCCCTTCCTTAATTATCTGGTCTTGCAAGACCTGTTTACCTAAATACTCACATTTTACAGAGGCCATAAACCATGAACCATACACAATCCCCAGAGGGGGTTATCAGTGCTGGCGCCAGGCCAGGTCTTTAGGTGTGGTCTCATGGCCTCCATCCCAACACACGGGGCTTTTTGCAAAGCCTGCGAAAGGTCCGGAAGTCTGATCCTTATTTGGGGGACAAAGAAACCAAAGGGTAAAGAGAAAGCTTCCTCTATATTGGTTTGCTCAGGATTGGGAAACAGGCTCCCTTGAGTCATGGTACTAATTCATCAGGAAATAAAGGTTTTTTTCCTGTATCTCTGGGTACTCCTGTGTATTTTTCGGTCGCCTGGTAAATTCTTACAAGGACATGCTTCCTGGTTTGCAGACAGCCGTCTTCTCATTGTATCCTCACATGGTGGAGAGCAGATAGAGAGGAAGTGAACCCTGTAATGTCTTTTCTTAAGGTCGCTAATCCAATTCATAAGGGCTCCACCATCGTGACCTCCCAAAGGCCCACCTCCTAATACAATCACACCGAGGGTTTAGGATTCCAACCTATGAATCTAGGAGGACACAAACATTCAATTCATGGAAACACTTTTCCAAATATTTTACATGAATAACCTGTTTATCCTATCTAATAAAAGACAAAAAGGGTAATTAACCGTACCTCCACTACGCTTTCCATTGGCTAATCAGGTCGATATGCAAATTAACTGCCAAGAAAGATGGTGGTTAACCGCCAACAAAGATGGCGGTTAATTTGCATATGGTGCAATGATGGGAGGCTAAAGGGGAAAGACGGAAGAACGGTGATCGGCAACCCAGGCAGCAGGCAAGAGCTGGGGGGCGGGCAAAGGCCGCCTCTGCCCACCCCCCAGCCGGCGATTGCCATCGGAAAGCCAGGCAACAGGCCAGGCAACAACCCCTGACCGGGGTGCCGGCTGCCTGCCACTGGTGATCGCCATGGCAATCGGAGGAAGAGAGAGCTGGGGCGCAGGCCAGGCAGCACCCAGGCACCCCAGCACCTGACATGCAAAGGTCGGGGATGAAATGACTTTTCCCAACCACATCTGCAAATATCCTGGGGAAGGCATCACTGAAGAGTTCACAACTATCTTACTTGGCAAGGAAGAAAAAAGTTGGCAACGGAAACAATCCCTTACATCAAAGTTAAGGTCCCTCTGGGTAAAAAAGAATATTTCCAATGTAAAGGAGGGAGCAGGCAAAAATAATAGGTTCTCATGACTTCCACTGAAGATTGAGCATATGACAGAGTCAAAACGAACATACAAATTAAAACAGACAGTGGACATTCAAATGACCTGAATCAACTGTCACTGTTTGTCCCAATAGCAGCAATGCTTATGTGATAATATAGTTTAACAAACATACA